GGCGATCGAAGCGGGCAGCTCGCGCCTGAGTCATGGACTTCCCCTGGCCCCTCCTCTACCACTCCCACTGCCTCGCCGGGCCCCCCCGCAGGGGCTAGCGCTCAGGCGGCGGCTCCGAGGGGGTGGGGCTGCTGGGAATAGCTGTGCCCCCTTCGGCTCCCCTGCCCTGCTCGCCTTTTTACCTGGGGAGGCAGACGCCGGGCCGGCAGTGCTCATGGGGCATGGAGGAGAAGACGACGGCCAGCGCTGGCTGGCCGGGGGCCGCCGGGCCCCCCCGCTGCCGTCCCGTTCTTCGGCATATCGGTAGACCAGGACGACATCCTTCCCGGAGCCCTGCGCCTCATCCAGGAGCTGCGGCCGCACTGGAAGCCGGAGCAAGTTCGGACCAAGGTAGCCAAGCGGGCGCGGGGCCGGGCCGGGGCCCTGCCGCGCTGCGAGGGGGCTGCGTGGACGCCTGTCCTTGCATCCTTCCGGGTGCCGGCCCCAGGGGTGCGCGGCTGCTGCGCAGGAGAGGTTCGGAACGTGGTTTGTGCGCGTTGGTTTTTCTCTTTCTATTTTGGTTCCTAAGCAAAGCTAGGCTCACGCCTCCCTCGGCCCTCCAAACACACCCCTCCTCCTGGGGCTCCTGGGCACTCCGGAGGTCCACCTGCCCGCTGTCAGCTTGCTGCGTGTGTGGGCCCCACCCCCTGGCGCTCGTGCTTAGCCCCTCGCTGCCCAGAAGCGTGTCACCAGCCAGCTCCGAAAGCTGAGGAGGCAGGAACTTCTAAGGAAACATACCGGCTGCCCCTTCTCCCCAGGGTGGGAGGAAAGCCTCCCAGCTCCAGGCTGCCCCCGAGGGTGCAGGAGCCACCGTGTGGCGTTCTCCCTGTCAGGAGCCCCTCACCATAGCTGCAGTTTGGGGCTCAGCAGCCCCCCACACAGCTGAACACACCTGTGGACATATCCTCCTCTTGAGGAACCCCAGGCCGACTCCTTAGGTGGCTTGCATTATCTTTAAAAAAAAATAGAGCCTTCACCTCTTCCCCCACCCCCTTCGCTGCTTGGGGAGGATGATGTTGCACACGTGGGGTGCTTGTGGGCTGTGCCCATAAGGGCCCCATGCTGACGGCCTCTGGATGGGGCAAAACCAAGTTCTAGGGAGACTCAAGACCTCAGTGGGGGCCTGCAGACCCCTCCTGGAGAGAGGTAGCACTTTAAAAATAAAAGGCCCAGTTTGGTCCAGGCATTAAGCAGACCCGAGGCCAGTTCCAGCACACATATGCTGTCTGCCTATTTCTCCTCTGTTTTCCCATGTAGAATTGGTTCAGACATCCTCCAAGGCCCCTTCCAGCTCTGTCCCTTGTGCTCCTTGAATTCATGCTTCCTTTCTCCTTATCGCCCTCCCCAGGGAGCCTGGACTCCCAGCTCAATTGTCCCCTGTCTCTTCTGGCACAGAACTCAGAGGCCTGGAGGACCTCTGACCGCCAAAGTGCTGGGACAGGTGCCAACCTCGGTCTCCTTCCTTGCACCTCTGTGCAGAGAAGGGCCGGAGATCCAGCAAAGCCCTCTGCCTGGCAGGTGGTGAGAGGCAGCTGGTGGGGAGGACTGGTCTGGGCAACTCCTGGCTCTTTTCTGCCACATTCTGGTTCTGGGGCTTCTTTCATGCAAGATGAAGCAGTACGGAGCAGGAGGGGGCTTCTGCCCGCCGAGGAGTGTGCAGATTCCCACACTGCCAACTCCCATGACTGAGGCAGACGCAGGAGAAACCACACGTGGGGCTGAGCCCACACTGCCATTATTCCCTTGCTATCCCAAGATGGGGGACATTGTTGTCCTTATGAGGCAATAGGCTAAAGGACTAGGGGTTCTGTGCAGCTGTGCTTGGCATTCACATGAGCACTTCCTGCGGAAGCTGGGGGGCCCTGGGAAGAGCCCAGAGAGATCCTGCCCCACCCACCCACGCACTGCCCTCCCCCCATACCAGCGCTTCACTGATGGCATCACCAACAAGCTGCTGGCCTGCTACGTGGACGAGGACATGCGGGACTGCGTGCTGGTGCGGGTGTATGGTGAGCGGACGGAGCTGCTGGTGGACCGGGAGAGCGAGGTCAGGAACTTCCAGCTGCTGCGAGCACACGGCTGTGCCCCCAAACTCTACTGCACCTTCCAGAATGGGCTGTGCTACGAGTACCTGCAGGGGGTGGCCCTGGGGCCCGAGCACATCCGGGAGCCCCAGCTTTTCAGGTGAGGAGGGGGCCAGGGTTCTGTTCATTTCTGCTCTTTCCCAAGCCTCGGGCTTAGAAATCCTCAGTCAGCTTCCTTGGTGTGAAGTAGGGTTCGTGGAGAACAGCTATCTGTGAGCGGGCCAGTCAGTGGGTGGTGGTTAAGGCGCCTGGATCCCACATGGCTGAATGTGGTTCAAGTTCTAGACCTGACAGCTTGAAAAACACCAAGCCTGAAATCGCAGAAGGAGTAATGGAAGTGAAGGGATTGAGGCATGACCACCTCCTATGGGGGTGCTTTCTTACTTTCCGTCTCTGTCTCTCTCACATGCTAAAACAAATTTAAAAAAAAAGCTGTGAGCCTCCTGAATTTGCACAAGGAATGTGCATGCGGCTGTACATGGTCCTGCAGAGGGGCTGTAGCTTCCTGTGGCATTTCAGTGGACTGCCAGAAGGATGAGTTCTGGGCGAGCAGAGTGAGGATCCTGATGAACGTGGAGCCGGAGGTCTTCGTACCCGAAGAGCAGCAGAGACCTGCTTCCTGGCCCAGACCTCAAACTTCTGCCTACCCCGAGTCTGATCTCAGAAACATCTGACCTTAGAAATGGAATCTGAGCCAAATTCCCAGAGCTCTCAGGGTTGCCTCTCCAAGCACGAGCATGCCGAGAGCCCAGGTGTGCAAGGAAAATAGGCCCTGCTCAGGTGAGCATGGGTCTACAAGCTTAGAGAGACACCATTCCTCCTGCCAGTGTCGCATCCTTCCTGGCACTCGTCAAGGTGGAAACCCAGGCTGGAGGAACGTCCGAGGCTTGTGAACCCATGGGAGCCCTTCACAGTGAAGTCCAGATGTGGAGGGCTCAGGCTGGCTTACCCCAGCCACGCGGTTGCTGCAGTGGGGCCTGGATGGGGAGAACCAAAGAGGCCTTGGTATATGTGCTCTGCAGCTGTGCCAGGTCAGGGCCTGGCAGTACCTGCCTCCTTCCTCCAGCCCTTGGCCATGAGGGTCGCTGTCCGTGGCGAGGGCTGAGGCAGGATGCGGTTGACTGCTGATACCAGGGTGGCAGCTCAGGGGTCTCCCTGGGATCCTGGCATCTGCCCTGTGCAGTCCCAGGGGAAGGAACCTGCCTCATACTGAGGCTACCTGAGTGTAGATCAAGACGCTTCCTCACTCTCTTAGCCCCTTTAAGTGTGCCTGGCTCTATTTGAATATTCTTCCCACTCCCTGACTGGCCCCCAGGGACTTAGGTGAAGGAAATCGGGGAGTTCCTCCACCACTGTTCTCTGAGTGCTGCCTTTGGGGCTGCTTGGGCCTCAGGACACACTTCGAGGTGTGCATGTAGCTGTGTGTGTGTGTTTGCAGGGAGCGAGAGGCACACAGCCCTGTCTGGGGGGGGGTCTTCTCAGGCTCGGCCTTAACAGCTCCAAATGCACCCAGCCTGGAGATGCAGGGTCAGAACAGGGGATGGGGCACATGGCCTGGCTCTTCCCCCACGCACTCCTCCCAGCTCCTCCTCACTCTTTGGCAATGAGCTCCAATCCTGCCAGGTCCTCACCTCACACCTCCCTCCACCCCTGTGAATCTGAGGCTGTCACTCATCCTCTCATAGAAACAATTACCGTTGTCAGGAAGGTCACCGGTGGATTTAGGTTCTCTAGTAAGAAGAACCTGGCATTTGGAGAGAGCCAGAAATTTGGAAAGGTGTGAGGTAGGCCCCTCCTGGATGGTTTTCCCAGGGTGGACCCATATCCCTCTGGGTGAGGGTGGATGTCTTAGGAGAAGGCCTGGAGCCCCCCTCCCCGTGGTTCCTGAACCCCACCTCCCACCCACGCCTGCTGAGGCTTCCCAGCATAAAAATGCTGAGTGTTGAGGTTACTTTCATTGCTATTCCAGACAACAGCCCTATTGATATTCAAGGAACGCTCTGCTCATGCTCTGTTCAGAATCTTCCTTTGGGAAGAGAAGGCCTGGGTGTCAGGTCTGTTTCCCTGCCTTACTCAAACCTTGGTGGGCTCCCTCCTGCCCCAAGGCCTCTGGCCTCAGAAAGCACAGCCTTCCTCTCTCACCCATGTGGCTACTGCCACACCCCCTGCCCCCTCCTCCCTAAGGAGATGGAAAACTTAGGGACTTCCAGAAGAGCCCCAAATCCCCTGTTATCCCATGGAGTATGGCCTGAGCAGGGCCTGGCAGGAAGGTTGAGGGTGCCCCTGGACCAGCTCTGTAATAAGGGTTCGAATAGCCACTCCCTTTGTTGTCTTTCCCAGTGACTATTCCAGCAACATGCAGAGGCAAAAGAGGCTTGGATGTTGGCGGCCTGGCAGACTGTTGAGGGTGGGGCTGCAGAAGGGGGTTGGCCGGCAGAGGACAGGGAGAGCCTGCTGGGCCCCGGGGCCTTGGGCGATGGGGTCCTTATCAAGGCCCTCCCTCTGTGATGGGTCAGTCTTCCACCACCCCCGCACTCTCCCAGCAACCTTCCCTACCGCCCACTCTGTCTCTCCCGGGACCTTGATAATGTCCACAGGAGAACTTGAAAATAGAATGCCAGTTTGTTTTGCGTCCTTGGCACCCAGCCGCCAGCATTAACTCCTTGCACCAAGTAAGGGGCTGCCCCAGGCCAGCCTGTTTCCCTCCCCACCTTGGCCTGGCTAATAAGAGGCGGCCATTTCATCCCTGCCTGGCATCATGCCCCCGGCCTCTTGGTGGAAAGTGACCTGCACTCACCTCCCTTGAGAGGGTGGGTCAGAGTCCGGGTGGAAGGGACAGGAGGAGGGCACCACCCCCACCAGTGCCCCTCTGTTCTCAGGTTGCTGCGGGTACAGCGGGTGGGGCAAGGCCACTGCCCTACGGTCAATAGCCCACCGCTTTGCCCTTCCACTCCCTGAAGGGAACCTCTGCTCCCGGAGAGGGAGCCCTAGGCCAAAGGTCTGATTTCCCTCCCTCGCCTCTGCTGCGCCCTTCCTTCTGCGGGACCTGGGGCCCCTGAGAGGTTCGTGGTAACTCCACACCTGGCCCAGTGGATCCTGAAGGGCTCCTTCCTAGTCGGCAAGGGCTGAGCAGGGAGGCGTGCCATGGCACTGACCCTCTCTACTCTTCCTTGGTGCTGCTGTAGGTTAATTGCCTTAGAAATGGCGAAGATCCACACTATCCACGCCAACGGCAGCCTGCCCAAGGCCATGCTCTGGCACATGATGCACAGTTACTTCACGCTGGTGAAGAACGAGATCAACCCCAGGTACAAGATGCGGGAGGGAACCGAGGCTGCCCCGGACTCAACTGCCCTCGCATGATCTCCGTTCCCCGTCTTCTGGCTCCAGCCTACCCCCGCGGGAGGTTTGGGGGCTCAGGGCCCAAGGTGGGGCTGAGGAGTCTCTCCCACAGCCCCTTCAGTCCTGGTTGCTGCGCCTCTGTCTCCACACAGAGATAGGCTGATGTACTAAAATCTCAAGAACTGAGATGAGCAGTTTTCTCCCTAGGCACTCATTGCTCCTGGACTCTTCAGATTAGGGCAGGAACTAGGGTTGGGGACAGTGTCTCCCCATTTTACTTGAAGGATGCTGAGGCTCAGAGACAGCTTTATCAACGTAGGGGGCCAGTCAGAGGTAGGCTTCTGTTTCTAGCGTGGGGCTCTTTCTACCTAAATGGCCTTCTGAACAGTGGGCTCAGGACAGCGCCCTCTGAGGAGGGGGTGGGACCAAGTTCAGAGTCTGTTGCAAGCACTCAGCCCGTCAGCCAACAAGCCTTGGGACATCAAAGTGCCTGCTTCCTGCCTGACTCCTCCAGTCCCCACATGCCTTCAGGGACCCTGCCCCGACCTTGCTCAGACTGACAGCTTGCTGTTACCATCACGCGCTTTCTAGGGAAGGATGTACACCGCAATCCTGACCTGCCTTTCCCCAGATAAGACGGATCTCTAAACTTGTTCTTGCGCTCTCTGGCCGGCACCTTGAGAGCCCTGCTAGCCTTTGGATACTCGATTCTCTGGCACAGCCTTGAGTGCTGAGGAAAGGGTGAAGGCAGTGAGGAAAGATGCTGTCTCTCCTTCTCACCAAGAAAAAAAAAGAGCAGTAGTGAGTTTCTGGTCCCTCCAGGCTTTCTGTTGGGACCGAATGTCACCTTTGCACCTAACGTTCTCAGGAGGTGGGCGAAGAAGGGGCTTGGAGATTAAGAATCTCCTTCCCACCCCTAAGGTGACAAGACAATAATTAACTCTGTCCTCAGACAGCGTGACTTAATCAAGATCTTCCCGCTTAGTGGTTATCAAGTACTGCTTGGGGACTGTTTGTCCAGGATGGCCTGAGTCTGCCCTCTTATTGACCATGTTCAGACCTTCTTTCACATGTCATCTCTGGGCTGCGGACTGCCTTCTCCCCGAGTTCTAACCCTGCATGTGGAGAACGGGACCTTAGTCTCCCAGCTCACTGCCTTCTTCTGACAGGTGGAAAAACTGAGGCCCAGAGAGGGGGTGGCAGTCACTGCTGATCAGTGGCTGCTCAGGGACTAGAGTGCAGGCCTCCCGGTGCTCAGGCATGATCTTTGATTCTGTGGCTTCCATTTTGCTGTCACTGTGTAACCTTGGGGTAACTTTGTTGAGGGGGAGTGGTCCCCCAAGAGTTGGCCAACTCCCTTTGTTCTTGTCAAACCTTTGACCTTGGGCAAACCAAGTTGCTTAACTTCTTTGAGCTTCTTTAGGGGATGATCCCTGCCCTGAACTGCCTAACCCGCCTAAGGGCCCAGGAATGATGAGCAGATGAGCAATCATTTAGACTAGATAAAGCACCTGAGTGCCAGTCACTGTCTAATAACCTTGATTTGTTCCATCCTTCATTTCACAAACTTGGATCGACTAGGATTTAGAACTCTAAAAATCTAGAAACATGACATTGGCCCTGCCTTCAAGAAGCTTAGGAGCCATCTGGGTAAAGAGGACATGCCCTGGCATGGCTACACAAGAAGCAGAATGTGTAATCTGTGCCCAGGGGCAGGGGAGGGGACCATGGAAGTATTTGGGGCAGATAAGATAGAGGCTACTCCAGCTGGAGCGGGGCTTGCTCCTGGATGCAGAGGGGATGAGGTTGCCCGGAGCAGGTCTTGAGGGGTTGTGGGAAATGGAGCCACAGAGGTGATTGGAACTGGGTGGTGAGGGGCCTTAAATGCCAGACTAAGGAGCCAAGAGCTGGCAGCAGCAAAAGCCCTGAGGATGGGTCCAGCAGGTGGTGTGTTGGTTAAGGCACTGGACTCCCACATGGCCAACCACAGATCGAGTCCTGGACCTGGCGGCTTGCCTTCTCCCCTCCCTCTGTCTCTCTCTGGTGAGCACATGTGCCCTATAGCAAATTTTTAAAGTAATAATAATAATAAATTAAATTAAATGATTGTAAGAAAGAAAGGAAAACTCTTGAGGGTGTTTGAGCCAGGGACTCAAGGCAGTAACCTGAGCGGGACTATGGTTTAGGAAGAATACTCTCTAGTATTCCAAGAGACAGACTTGGGTGGACAGTGGGAGGTAGATTTGAGGTAGGGAGACCCAACGGGGAGTGCTGTAATTAAATAGATGAGATGTGGGCCACCTGGGTGCATGGCAGTAACCCAACAGGACCCTCACAGGAAGGGTCCTGGTTTCGTGTCCTGGGACCTCCCTGGGGACACATGCATGTGCCCATGACTCAGGCTGGCAGACTGGTGATGGGTCGCAATGTGGAGGCCTTGTTAGGAGTGCCTGTCTCTCTGTATCTGTCTCTGTCTCTCTGATTTTTTTTTTGAGAGGTTTTTGCTATAGGGCACGTGCGCTCACCAGACAGACAGAGACAGACAGAGAGATAGAAAGCGAGAAATCACCCCCCAGAGGGGATGGCCACGCCACAATCTCTTCTCCTCCATTCTCCTCTCAAGATCTTGGGCATGCATGCACACGTGCCCGGCGTGAGTTTAAGCCACCGGTTCCGGGACTCTAACTACGGTTGACTACGTGGGAGTCCAGCGACATAGCCATTACGCTAACTGCTGGTCCCTCTGTCTCTCTGATTTAAGAAATGAATGAAAGAATGAATGGGCAGGGGATCTTGGCGTAATAGCTATGTCGCTGGACTCCCATGTAGTCAACCATGGTTTGAGTCCTGGACCCAGTGACTTAAACTCACACCAGGCACGTGTGTGTGCATGCCCGCCCAAGATCCCAAGAGGAGATTGGAGGAGAAAGGATTATGGCATGGCTATCCCCCCCTGGGGGGAGATTTCTCACTCGCTGTCTCTCTCCCTCTGTCTTTCTGGTGAGCGCATGCACCGTATAGCAAAAACCTCTCCTAAAAAAAAAAGTATGAATGAACAGATCCGAGACTAGGGTTGTCAGACTTGGAGCAGAGGATCCCCCTGGAATGCTTGCTAAGTGCAGATTCCCAGCCCAGCCGTGGAGCTTGATGGAGAGGCCTCGCATTAGCCCCCAAGAATCTGCACTGTGACAGGCTCCCCAGGTGCCTAGAGGCAGGTGACCCAGGAACCACGAGTTGAAGACCATTGCCCTGGGGCCGCTTCTGGGGGCTGTGGCAGCTATGGAAGTAGACTTGGTAGCCTTAGTGTTTGAAAGTGTCAGGGTAGCTGAGAAGATGTGGGGTGGATTACGAATTTGGAGGTATCAAACAGAGGTGCTGATGGATTGGCTGGCAGGAGGCACAGGTGACAGGCCAATAAGCTGCAGCTCTCAGAAAGTCGCCTGTGGGAGACCAGCAGGTGGCATGGTGGTTAAGGTGCTAGGCATTCCCACAGGGCCAATCACAGTTCGAGTCCTGGACTTGGTGGCTTACTTTCCCATTCCTGTCTCTCTCTCTCTCTCTCTCTCTCTCTCTCTCTGTGTGTGTGTGTGTGTGTGTGTCTGGCCAAAATAAAATAAATAAATGAATAAACAAAATTAAATAAATAATTAAAGGAAAGTCTCCTGTGGGAGAACACCCTTTTACCTGCCCCATCCTGAGAGCTGAGTGGAGATTTGCCAGGCAGCAGCCCCTTTAGCAGAAGGAACCTCATGGGGGGACCAGCATGTGGCATGGTGATTAAGGTGCTGGACACTCCCACATGACTGACCACGGTTTGAGTCCTGGACCTGGCAGCTTGCTTTCTCACTTTCTCATTTTCTCGCTTTTTTTCTCTCTCTCTTTCTCTCTGTGTCTCTCTCTGGTCAAACTAAAATAAAATGAATGAATAAATAAAATTTGCAAAAAAAGGAACCCCATGGCCTCCCTGGCATGGCCCCCCCCACCCCTCCTTCCCCCCACTGCTGTCTCTGAGGACAGTTCTTCCTGAGGCATGTTGGGATGTGTGGTTCCTGTCCTGCTAGCCCCACCGCTTCGAAAGTGCCCAGTGGTGTCGAGCTGACGGGAGCACAGCTAGACTCGAGGGCTCAGGGAGGGAAGCAGAGCAGCGAGGGAGGCTGCCCGGGAGGTAGAAGGCCCAGGCTGTTCCCACAGGAACCAGCTGCGTGGCCTTGGGATGGGCAGACTCGGGGATGGACTGAGGTCAGGGCCTGGGCAGCAGGCAGCTTGGATGGGGTGTGGGCAAAGCCAAGGAAGCCTCCTAATTCTTATCTTTGTATGATCTCAATCCAAGAAGAAAAAGGGATCTTGAAAGAAAAGGTAGATTCGTAAGGAGAGCCAAGTGTGAATGGTGTCACGCAGCCCCACAGACACAGATAAACTCCAGCAGAAACCCTGGACTCAGGCCTCTGCAGAGCCCCCGAGGGGCACCTGGGCCTCCCAAGCAAAGGGAAGAGCTCTCACAATTGGAAGACTCAGCTGGATTTCAGGTCTTCAGATGAGGAAGCAGAAAACCCAGCTGTGTAAGAGTACCCAAGCACTGGAGAGATGCCTCTGTCCTTCCTTGAACCTGTTTCCCATGGGGTCAGACTAGCTGACCTAAGACCCTCTTTAGCTTTGACCTCAAACCCCCGGGGGAGGGGCTACTTGTTCTCCTTTTCCAAGGGTGACAAGGGTACTATGTGGCCGAGTCCTCTTTCCCGCGTCTGGCCTCTGGCCTGGGAGAGGTGACTGGTCTGTCCTGTGGGAAGGCAAGAGGGGGCATAGCTCATCCTCCGTCATTTGCTCTCGCTGCCCTGGACAAAGAATCGCAAGCAGGAGGTACATGAATGGAGTTCAAACCCCGTCTCCTCCCCTCCACTCATTGGTGGTTCCGGGTTTTTAAGGGTTGTGCTAACTATTTGGCTTTTGCAGTGTACACAGATCCTGGGGACCAAAGTTCAGAGCATCTGAGTACAGCACGCTCCCCCAGACTTCCACGTGGCCCCAGATAACCTCAGCTTGCCTGATTTGTTCCCGCATCCTGAGCAGCAGTGGCTGTGGTGTACACGGGTGGGAGTGGGCTGGGCTCAATCCATCTTTGTTCCGGCCCTCCTGTCACCCACACGGGGTCTGCCAGGGGTCTGGGATGAGGAAGCACACAGTCATAAGTTAAGATGGAAGGGACAAGTTATTGGGGAGCAACAGTCCCAGAGCCCTTACCGTGAAAGGCCCTACTCCCCTGGCGTTGTGCGAGCAAGCCCTGGAAACACTTGGCTAGCTTTCCCTGTGGCCTGAGGGGTCTGTCTGTGGGATGGGAGGCCAGAGCAGCAGGCTCTTTGGGCTCTCCCGCCCACAACACTGGCCGTTGCTGGAGGACGAAGGAGCACACCTCTGCACCTGGGGAGTTCCCTGCTGCGGCCCCTCCAGGGCACCCTCACTCCTCTCACCTTACTCCACCTTGCTTTAGGGGTCTTAGACTCATCGGGTCAAGACACTTGCTCTCGCCTCCCCTATCCTCTCCCAGGGCCTCCTTCCTTGCCTTATGCCTGTCATGAAGCATCCGGTCAGGGACTTCGATGCTCTGCTAAATGCTCTGTGCCCATGTTTCCATCAGCTTCTTAGCATAACCACAGAAGTCAGCGGGACAGGTGACCACAGCGAGGGTCTGAAAGGTGGGCTCTCTGCTCATGGTCCCAGTGCAGTCAGTAGCAGTAATGACCTTGGGATGCAGGATTTGGGAGTCCCTGCTTGGCTGCCATCAGCCCTCCTTCCATTGGCTGCCATTTTTGCCACTATCTAGCCTCTCTGCAGATGTCCCCAAGGTGGAGGTGTTGGAGTGGGAGCTGGCCTGGCTGAAGGAGCACCTGTCCCAGCTGGATTCCCCTGTGGTGTTTTGTCACAATGACCTGCTCTGCAAGAACATTATCTACGACAGCACCAAAGGTATGGCTTCCCCAGCCCCAGCCAGGCTGCAGCAGCTGGCCAGGGGCCTCTTCCTAGGCTGGTGCTTGGACCAGCAAAAGGAGACCTGGGGTTAGGGCTTATGTTAATTCGAAGGAGAGAAGGGGAAAGGAAATATGGAATTCCCACTTGGAAAAATCTATGCCAGGGAAGAACTCAAAGCAGGCCAGCTGCTACATGAGGGCCCACGCTGTTTCTTCTGGGCATTGGGCTTCTGAGAACACTGTGGGTGGCCCTGAGCCTTCAGAGAGATGGAATGAACCCCTGGTGTTCCTGATGCCATTGTCACCACAAGGAGCACTTAGCCTTGTTTCTGATCCTTAGCCATGCTGAGGGCAGACGAGGAGAGCCTGAGGATCCAGCTGTGTGAAAGGGAGAAGAAGAGCTGGGGAAAGGACAAGTGGACACATGGGCAGAGGGCAGAAAGCCACAAAGGAGATTGCTGCAGAGCTTGGGATCGGCCAGGTGCTGCAGAGGTCAGGGCCTGCTTGAGCAGGCAGGCCTTCTTTCCAGATCTCCTGGGACCGGCCTCATGCCTCTCCTCTCCCTCACAGGGCATGTGCGGTTCATCGACTATGAATATGCCGGCTACAACTACCAAGCTTTCGACATTGGCAACCATTTCAATGAGTTTGCAGGTGAGAGGGGCATCCCTGTGTAACCTGTAACTTGGCAAAGTCAAGGTTTGGGGGCAGAACCAGAAGCGTTCTGTACTTGGAGGATGGAGGCCAGGTATTCCCTGTCCTCCCAAACGGTACAGTGCCGAGGGTGAAGGCCCTTCCTGCCTTTAGAGAGCTCCAAGTCTTGCGGGGGAGCAGGACCCATGTCTGTTAGCCCACGTGGCAGTTTGGAGCAGACTGGAAAAACATCCTCTATAGGATTGCTAGGCATATTCAAGAATACCATATGTGGGACCAGCACTTGGCGTAATGGCTACGTCTCTGGACTCCCACAAAGTCGACCGGGGTTTGATTCCTGGACCCAGTGGCTTAAACTCATGCCAGGTGCGTATGCGTGTGTGCCTAAGATCCCGAGAGGAGAAGGGATTGTGGTGTGGCCATACCCTCTGGGGGGTGATTTCTCACTTTCTATCTCTCTGTTTCTCTCTGTCTTTCTGGCAAGCGCACGTGCCCTATAGCAAAAACCTCTCAAAAAAAAAAAAAAAAATACCATGCATTAGGAAAAGACCCCTTCTGGGCAAGGCCCTTCCAGAAACCTGGGGACCAGGTCTGCCAAGCACTTAATATACCTAAGGGCAGCCACCAGCTTCCCCAGGAACCCAGGAACCCAGGGGTGATGTGGCCTCAGCTGGCCAGAGCAGTGAGCACAGGTGTGGCAGGGGGCAGAGGCTGGCCCCTGGCAGGGCACCTGGCCTGGGAATTCTTGGCCACCAGGCCTACTGCCTCCCCAGAAGGATCCTTGTTAAGCATTTAAGTCCTTTCACTCACCACAAAGAGCAAAGTCCAGCTGGAATTTCTCCAGAAGAGCAGATTGCCTCCTGATCCCAAGTTGAGAAAGGAGGAGGAAGATCTTAGCATGGAAAAGGAAGAGGGCAGGGGAAATTAGGAGCCAAGGAGAGGGCCTCCCTGGGTTCTCAGGAGCCTAAAATATGGAGTCCTGGTATCGGGTCCAAACTCGATCCCACCTCTAATGGGCCATGTGACCTTGGGCAGGTTTCTTCTCTCAGTTTTAGTTTCTACTTCTCTATAAGACCTTTGGGCGTCAGGACACTGCGCTTTCTCCAGGGATATAAGGGAATCTTGGGAAGGATAAGAAGCAAAGAGGAGAGAGGAAGAGCCCCTGGAGACAGTGGCCCAGTCCTGATCCGCTTAAAGAAAACACTTCATGGGACCAGCAGATAGCATGAAGTTATGTCACTAGACTCCCATGTAGTCAACTGTGATTTGAGTCCTGGACTCAGTGGCTTAAAACTCACACCGGACATGTGCACGTACAAGCCCAAATTCCCAAGAGGAGAATGGAAGAGAAAGGATTGTGGGGTGACCATCCACTCTGGGGGGGGATTTCTAGCATTCTGTCTCTCTTTATCTCTCTGTCTCTCTGTTGAGCACACACACCCTATAGCAAAAATCTCTCTACTAAAAAAAAAAAGAAACCACTTCTTGGGCCAGTCATGTGGTGTGGTGATTAAGGCAGCTGAGTGCCACTGGCCAACTGTGCAGTTTGGGTCCCGGACCTGGTGTCTTGAAAAACACACTGGGCACATGTGACTGCATGCCCAAAATCCCAAAAGAAGAGTGGAAGAGAAGGGACTGTGGCATGGTCAGCCCCCGGGGGATCCTTTCTCACTTTCTCTCTCTCTCTCTTTCTCTCTCTCTCTCTCTCTCTCTCCTCCTCCACCTCCTCCTCTCGTGAATGCACATGCTAACACACACACAGAAGAAACATTTATTTCTTTTGTATTTAAAGAATTGCTTTTTATTGAACTTTATTTTATTAATTAACTAGTTAATTAATTTTTATTTGATCAGAGAGGGACAGAACGAGAGAGAGGGAAAGCGAGAAAGCAAGCCACCAGATCTGGGATTCAAACCACTGTCGGCCATGTGGGAGTCCAGTGCCCCCAGTCACCGTGCCACCCACCAGCCTCGAAACCACTTGTTTCTGAACTAGTTCTGGAGTCACCGTCTCTGCCACTGTGCCCAGGATGTGGCTAGTGGTGCTGTGCCGGCAGCACGAAGACTCCTGGGGAGGCAGGGCTGGAAGGAATGTGAGCCGTGGCCCATGGTGCCAAGCTTAGCTGCGTTTCAGAACCGCCTGGAGAACTGGACGGGGTAGGGGTGCTCCCTGTCCAGTTAACACTGGTCCAGGAAGAAGTGTTTGATGCTCACACACGAAGTCCAGCCCTTCACGTGATACATGGAGAAATCGAAGCCAGTGAGAGGAAAGGGCTGTCCCGGGTTAGCTGGAGGTAGTGCCCCCATGGGGCCTTCACTTAGTACAGGACAAGGGAATCTAGGTACTTCTGGGACGATGCCTTGCCCTTCAACCTGTCTGTCCCTCTGCTTGCTTTGCCCCCATGGAGCAGTGCCAGCTGGGGTGGGGTAGAGCCAGCCCCCCATCGCCTGAGTTTGGTGATTTGAGAAGCTACATTGCCAGGGCTGCCTCATTCCCAGAGCACAGCCCTGCAGGTCCCAAGAGGTGGGCGTTTTGAGGGGAGAAGGGAACACCTTTGAGCTCACAGTCCCCGGAGTCCCCAAGGTCGCCCGTTCCAGCAGCTTGTCTGGCCCTCCTCCCGTCAGGTGTGAACGAGGTGGATTACTGCCGGTACCCAGAGCGGGAGACCCAGCTGCAGTGGCTGCGCTACTACCTGCAGGCACAGAAAGGGACGGCCGTGACCCCCAGGGAGGTGGAGAGGCTCTACGTGCAAGTCAACAAGTTCGCCCTGGTGAGTCTCCGGCTGGCGGGGCGGGAGCGAGCCGGCCGGGAAGGAGGAGGGACCTGTGACCCAGCCCTAGTCTCCTCTCCAGAGCTCAGATCAGCTGTGAGATTCTGGGGACCCCATCGTAAGCTACCCTAGCGGAAGAGCCATCCTGAGCGTCCCCTCAATATCGAGATGCCCTGCTCTCTGCTCTCCGGCCCCACCAAGTCTGTTCTTTCTTCTAGAGAAATACTTCCAAGAGGCCTCTCGGCTTCCTAGGTCAGCAGTGCTCTTGTTTGGATAAGTAGCTCTTTCTCCTGTGTAACCACAGCCTTGCACGCTGCAGTTAAATTCATCCTTTCTGTTAAGCCTTCGAAGAGACAGGGTGTCAGGACCTAATCCACCTGTTCCTGCCTTCCCTGACTCAGAGCTCCTTAAGCCTTTCCCACCAGCTGCTCCTGCCCCAGTCACCGTGCTGTCAGTTCTTAGTTCTGAGAGCTGCTTATCCAGGGTACACGGTTCATGCCCAGTCTGCACCCATGTGTGCCCCAGGGCATCGCTTACTAGATTTATCAATGCCAACCACGCATAAGCAAGAAGACAGTTCAGCAGCTTGAACTGCGCAGTACGTGACAGAGCGAAACGAAGCCTCCGTGTTTCTGTGATTCCCGGTTGCCCACTCTCTTTTCCTCGTGGGCACAGAAACCAGTCTACCCCTGGGGCCAGCAGAGGGCGCGGTGGTGAAGGTGCTGGACTCCCACGTGGCTGACTGTAGTTTGAGTCCCGGATCTGGCAGCTTGCTTTCTCACTTTGCTTTTCTCTCTTTCTGTCTCTCTCTGGTCAAGCTAAAACAAAAAGTAATAATAACAACAACAACGACAAGATCTACGCTAGCCTCTCCCTCTGAAGGACTTCAGCTGCAGCACAGGCCTCCCCCCTGCCCTGCTTGTAGTCCTCGTGCATATTTGCTAGTTTATCAAGCAGGACTTTGGGAAAGGCTGGGCGAGCTACGGCCTGGGAAAGTGATGGTGTCTCTCATGCCATTCAAGGCCAGCTGGAACCCTGGCTCCCTGGTTCCTTGAGCTTGGGGTGAGCTGGGCCTTGGGGGCACTTCTAAGTACAAGAAAGCACAGTCAGATGCTCAATAAACACCCAGTTTGGGGCTTCTTATTCCCAGATCTGGACACATTTTCCACCTGACCAGCCTCCTGGAGGAAAAGGAGGGGGGGTGGAGGTCAGTGTAGGGGCTTCCAATGGAGCAGAGCTCTGGTGACCACATGGCCAGGGCATAGCCACTGACCCCTCTTCTTGCCTTATTGAGGAATACCAGCCCCTTTGCAGCCCCCAGGCCTAAGCTGTGGCTTAGGGGTTCACCATGGCCTAGTCCATTGGCCTGGAGTCCAGAGCGGGCCTCAGTAGGGAAGAAGCCGGGGTGCAGGGTTCTGCTCAGGGCGGGGCACCACCTGGAATCGCAGTGAGTCCCACTCTGCCGACGCCCTGCCTGTGGTGGGCAAACTAGGTTCTGCCTGCCTTCCTCCAGGAGCGAGCCCCAGCTGTCAGTGCCCAGCTGTCTGTCCTGTAATTCTCCGGCCTGTGCCAGGGGCCCTACCTCGTCTCTGCCAGTTTCCTAGCCCTATCTTCCAGAGCCCATGCCTTTCCAGCTCTGCTAGGTCCTTGAGGGGCACGGGGAGCCTGGCTGACCCTCTCTGGTCTGTTTCCAGGCATCTCACTTCTTCTGGGCTCTCTGGGCCCTCATCCAGAACCAGTACTCCACCATCGACTTCGACTTCCTCAGGTGAGTGTAGCGGTGGAGAAGGGGCCCTGGCCCAGGGTGCGGGGCAGGGCACAGGACAGCCCACATGTAGGCCAGGGCCCAGGCCTCTGCTCTGCCTACCGCCCTCCCTCCCCGCCCATTCCCAGTGGGTGGCCACTCCAGCACTTGCTAGGGGTAGGGGAGCTCCATGCAGAAACCAGTCAGTGTGCATGTCCTCTCCCCTCCCTCTCTAGCCCCCTGCAGCTGTGTCCTAGCACCAGCCCCCTGCGGCCCCTGCCCCACCCTGTACCCATGCGCTTCGTGGAGCCTGCAGGGAAGCATGGAAGACGGGCTGGAAGATCGCGGAGTCTCGCCCTCATTTTACAGCAGGGAGGACAGAATTCCAGAGAGCAAGAGCCACTTGCCGAGGTCACTCGGTGACTCAGTGGTCGGGTGCTGCCTGCCTGCTTGCAGATCAGCCCCAGTCACCCCTGCAGTGGCTCCTAGTGATATTCAGGGATCCTGCATAGAACGTGTTCGGGCATGGCATTCAAGGGTGCGTGTCATGTGAAGTCCCTATGTCCCCACAGGCCAGGAGTCATTTCTCCCTCCATTCTGGCCCAGTCCCTGCCCACCTCCTCATTCTCAGCGGATAGGGCATCACTGCCTTGGCTTCACAGTGCCGGTAGCCCTCAGAGAAATGCCAGTCAATAGCAGAGGTGTGGCCTGCCCAGCAGCACAGCCGCTATCACAAAGCCTGCCTGGCCAGGTGGCGCCCAGGTGAGATGGAGGCTCCCCGAGGCAGACCCACTCGGGAGGTTTATTTCCGGAGTCCCCCACCCACCCCCGAGGCATGCTGGGCATGTTCACGCCCACAGTCCGGGCTGACTGAGGAGGGGGTAGACTGCAGCACCAGGGCCTTGCCAGGGGTGCTGTGTTGCTCTCTGTCTATCTGTCTGTCTCACTCATGAAAGAAGTAAACTTTGGCTGAGAACAGAGAAGGGGGTGCAGTGTGGCCATTCCCCCAGTGGGTGATTCTCTCTCTTCCTGGTGAGCACATGCACCTTATACGGGGATGGGGGGACGTTTTAAAAGTAAAATTGGGGAAGAAAAAAATCTAAAGCTAGACCTAGACCTATTGGCACATGCCTGTAATTCCGAGGCTGAGGCAGGAGGGAGGGTCGTGAGTTCAAGGCCACCCTAGGCAATGTAATAACATCCTGTCTCTAAAAAACAAACAGAAAACACAGCGGGGCAAGTGCGTGGAGGAACTGAAGCTCTTACGCGCTGTTGGGACACTGTGAGCGGGGATCTAAAGTGGTGCGGCCACTAAGGAAAGCAGGACAATGGTTCCTCAAGAAGTTAAAAATAGAATTACCAGAGGGTAGCAGGTGGTGTAATGGGTAAGCCACTAGACTCTCACATGTCCGACCATAGTTCAAGTCCCAGACCTGGCAGCATGAAAGCCATACCAGGCTCTTGTGTGTGCATGCCCAAAATCCTGAGAGGAAAGTGGAGAGGGACTGCACCATGGCCATCCCCACTTGGGGGAGGAATTTCTCACTTTCCTGTGCTTTCTACCTCTGGTGAGTACACACACCCTATGGGGGGGAAAAAAAACTTAAAAAAAATAGAACTACCTCATTGTCTAGCTGAGTAGCATAGTCAGTGGCCACTGAGCTGTAGTGCTGGAAGCCACAGGGCCTACCACGGGTTCAGATCCGAAGTCAGCTCAGAACCACACCAGGCACACGTGTGTTTGTGCCCATGACACTGAGCTGGAGGGCTGGAGAATCCCAGCGTGGGGAGACCCTCTTCAAGACGCTTCTCTCTGTATTTCTCTCATGCATGCACGTGCACTCTATCACAAACAGAATGAACTTTTAAAATCCCACTTCTGGGGGCCAGCAGGTGACATAGTGGCTTAAGGTGCTAGACTCCCACATAGTTGACCATGGTCTGAGTCTCAGACCTGGTGGTTTGCATGCCTGACATATGTGTGTGTGTGTGTGTACCCAAAATCCCAAAAAGAAAATGGAGAAGGGATTGTGGCATGGCCGTCCCTCCAGGAGTGATTTCTCACTTTCCCTCTCTGTCCCTGCAGCAGGTGCACGCCCCCTTTAGCAAACTGGGGAGAAAAGGAAAATCCCACCTCTGGGCCAGCGCAGTGACCTGATAGTTAAGGGAGCCCGGCCCCATATGGCTGCATGCTTCAGATCTGGCCCCGGTGGCTTGAAAAATGCTGGGCACGTGTGCTTGCATGCTCCAAATCCCAATAGAATAGAGAAGGAATTAAAGTGTGACCAGGCCCCACTTGGAGGAGGGGCTACCTTCTCCCTCTCCCCTCCTCCCTCCTCTCTCCCTCTCTGGCAAGTGCACGTGCCCTCTGGCAAAATTCACAAAAGTCTCAGCCCTGAGTGTGTACCCCCAGAACTGAAAGCAGAGTCTCAGAGAGACGTGCACACAGGCGTCCACAGCATCGTGCATGGTAGCCAAGGGGGAGAGGTGCCCCGTGTCCGGCGACAGGTGAAAGGAGGGACAGAGTGTGGCACAGCAGTGCTTAGCCTGGAGGAGGAAATCCCAGCACGCCAGGAACATATGCACATCACGCTGAGTGAGATAAGCCACTCTTAACAAATACTGTGGTTCTGCTTATGGAAGGAAACCTAGCAGGGCAATTCATGGTCGGAAGTGGAATAGTTACCAGGGCAGGAGAAGGGGGGAAATGGGGAGTACTATTTAACGAGAGTAGAGTTTCAGTTGTGCAGAATGAGTAAGTTCCAGAGATCTGTCGCGCACTGCGAATAGACTGAACGCTACAGAACCATAAAAGCAAAGCTGCAGACAGACACGCCTGTGGAAGGTTGCTCTGGTCTGGTCTAAGAAGGAAAAGTTAGCGACCAGCAGATGGCGTAATGGTTACATCGCTGAGCTTCCACGTAGTCCACTGCGGTGTGAGTCTCGGACCTGGTGACTTAAAACTCACACCAGGTGTGTGTGCGCATGCCCAAAATCCTGAGAGGAAAATGGAGCAGTAGGGAGTACAGTGTGGCCATCCCCCACGGGGGTAGGGGGGATGGCGTGATTTCTCGCTTTCTGTCTCTCTCTCCACTGAGCTCACATACCCTACAGCAAACATTTCTTCAAAGGAGGGGGGGAGGAAAAATTATAGATGAGGTAAAAATAAAAGAAGTCTGAGCTGTGGCGTTGACTCTCCCAGCACTGAGTGGCTTAGAGCTGCTGAGTTCTCTTCTGGTGGGAGTACCCCACCTGCTGCCCTCCTCACCCCAGCTCCCTTTCCTGTCTTTCCGCAGGTATGCAGTGATCCGATTCAACCAGTACTTCAAGGTGAAGCCTCAGGTGTCGGCCTTGGAGATGCCAAAGTGACCGGCCACCCATCCCTCCAGCCCCTCTGCCAAGCCAGACCTGTTCCCGCAGGACGGTTCTGTTCTGGGGCCCTCAACCTTGGGCAAGGTGGGAGAGCGGACAGGTGGGTGTCCAGGGAGAAGGTGTTGTCCCTGATGCCAGCGCCCCCATGAATGCCACTGAAGACCTCATTCTCCTGCCTGGAGGGGCTGATAGGACCCGACACAGGGTCTCTTTCACCTCACCAGGCCCCAGAGGAAGTGCCTGCAGACAGCCTGGGAAGCTTACCACCCCAGTCTGGCTCTGCTGGGTCAGGGCTGCCTTAGACGTCTGAGCCTTCCTGGCAGGAGGCAGGGGCAGGGGCAGGGGGCGGGCTCCTTTCTTACTCCAGCCCCCCAGCCTCCAGCCAGCCTACCTCCAGCCCCCCAGCCTCCAGCCAGCTCCCTTGCATGGCCCACACTGGAGGTGCTGAGCCCCAAACCAGCATCATGCCAACTGGCAGGTGGCTTGTGGGAGTTCTCTAATTGGGCACAGCTCCCCTAGCCGCTGCCTCATCTGAGAGCCCTCATTTCTCCAAACCAGATCCAATGAAATAACCCCTTCCTAAACCTGCCCTGGAAAGCCTGCTCCCCTCCAGGGCCCTGGCTACCCCGCTGCTCGTCTCTACCCCTAGCAGCCTGCTGGGGGGAGACAAGGCAGTGCCCAAGCCCTGGGCCTCCGAAGCTGGGCCACGGGAGGTCTGTGGCTTGGCCAGAGGACACCAGCAGCCTCGCCCCTGGACCCCTCCCCTCCTGGCTCTCCCTCTCCTCTGTCCTGAAGTCAGCCCGCAGTCTCCCATCATTGCGAATGACCAATGGGAGTCAAGGGCCAGGGCCAGGGCCCTCTGTGGCCCTACACGGGGAGCCTGGGCAGGGTGGACCTGAGAAGGTGCTGGCTGAGGGGGCTGTCTGACACTCAGCAGCCTCCACCTCCTCTCTGCCCTCCTGGCTCTGGCCTGTAAAGTGATTCATTTGTAAATAATGTGGTTTTCTGCATTAAAATGCTCATTTCAGGGGGACTGCTGTGTCTGAGTCACAGTGAGAATTGGACCCAGAGGATGATTCCCTGGCCCGGGCTGCATCCCCTCTGCTGTCCCCATCGAGGGAGTGGCCTGTGCACCAATAGCAGCAGGGCTCCGTGTAGACCAGGGCAGGACTGGTGTTTGAGTCAGTGGGCCCTGGAGGTGAGCAGGCCGGTGAAAAAGTACCCCAGAGAGAAAAGCATTCAGGACTTCCTCCTCGCTCCCCTCTGGCTCCCAGCCCCTGTGGGGAGGGGGCTTCCCTGCTAAGAGCGGGAGTTAAGGTTCTGGAGCCAATCTGCCACTTTCTCAGAAGGCAGAGGGAGGGAAGAGCAAAATGCAGAGGTGAGAAAGGGCACCGCTCTCAGCAGCCCAGGTGTTCCAGCTACTTCCAGAACCCTCCAGAACTAGCCCAGGGCCCTGAAGGGCAGCAGTGGCAACAGCCACCAGCCAGGTGGACTCTGGTTGTTTGGCTTTTGCCTGCAGAAGCACCAGAGTGCCATGGCAACTGCCGGAGCTGGCGGGGCAGCTGGGGCCTGTGGGGTCATGGTGACCCAGGGTGGCCAGGCCCTCTGTGGCTGTCAGCCTAGGTGTTGATGGACGATGTGGGGAATGAGTGCCCAGTCATAGGGTGGGAGCAGACTGGGCAGGTGGGAGCCCCTGAAGGCCAGACACAGCCTGCCCGCGGACCAGCTGACAGTCCCCGCGGACACCTCTGGGGTTGAGGGCAGAAATAACCACTGCAAAAGGAAGTCAGGTTCGTGTCCAGCCTGCTGGCATCTTGATGTCACTGCACTGGAGACTGGTAAGCAGGGAATGGCTGGGACGGGCCCACTGGTGCCCTCCTGTGCCCTCAGGCCCTGGCACTATGTGTACAGCACTCAGCCAGCTGGCACATCCATTGCCCTTCTTGGAGAAAGTATTCTCACTCCTCCCGGGCAGTGGGCAAGCACACCCCTTCCCCCAAAGGCTGGGAGCCCCACCTTTCTGCTTTCACTGTCACTCAAGCTGAAGGGCACCCTGCCCTCCTGGCTCAGCACTAGGCCTGAGAACCCCGCAGGCTCCCTTCCAAGGCCCTAGGTAGGGGCTAGAGGCTCCCCTTCCTGAGGGGCTCTGACCCTTGGCCTCTGCAGGAGAGGCACAGTGAGCAGAGAGCAAGACTGTGCCGTAGCCTCCTGGCAACAAGCAGGACGCTGTTTAGGCCTGTGCAACCCACCGGAGCCGTCTGGCCTCTCCTGGGACATGGGGTGGGGCCCCAGCCGTCCCAGAGAATGCATTGTGACTGGGTCAGCAGCTGGAAAGAGGTGGCTGGTAAGTCCCTGGAGTATGACCTGGGCAGGACTGGCCCCTGGCCACCACTCCTGGCCACAGGGGACTTGCCAGTAGAAGTAGTCGGCACCAGCAGTGCTGCGAAAGCGAGCCATGAGCAGGGCTGGAATACTTCTGAAGGGACTGCCCGGAAGTGGCTTGGACGGGTGGGGGCGGTAGCATGGTAATGGATAGCGATGCGGGCCGCGCAATATCCCTGGTGACCACTAGGGGGCAGGCGCCGCAGCTCCCTTCCCACCGCAGTTTGTGTATTTTCCCAGCCCAGCGTGGGGTGGGCATAGGCGAGGCAGCCCAAACCTCTGCGGCGCCCAAGGAGAGCAGCCAGGGGAGTAATAATCCAGGTCTTCACTCCTAGAGCGTCCAAGTTGTGGCCCAGAACCAACCATACCTCCCTTCTCTCCCCACTTGGCCCAAATTTAGAAAGCCCTCACCCAGGAGTCCTGCAAGGCCACTCTACTTTTGAACATCTTTGTGGAAAAGTTTTTCTTGGAACCAGCAGTTGGCGTAATGGCTATGTCGCTGGACTCCCATCTAGTCGACTACAGTTCGAGTCCTGCGACCCGGTGGCTTAAACTCACACCGGCGCGTTGTGTGTGAGAATGGAGAAGAGATTGCAGCATGGCCATCCCCCCGGGGGTGGGGTGGGGAGTGATTTCTCTCTGTCTTTCTAGCAAGCGCACATACCCTATAGCAAAAACCTCTCAAAAAAAAAAAAAAAAAGCTTATTTATGTCAAAGTGAACTACACTGGAGTCCAAGGTCAGCCTCCGGAGTCATGTGGAATTTCTTCACTCGGAGCCACCAGGCAGCTCTGCAGAGTATCCTTGGCCCTTTTGACCATTCCTCTAAGGACATGTGCACTGGACTCCCTCCAGTCGGCCAGGTAGGGTGCCTGCTTCTGGCTGCCTCCAGTGTGACAATGGCTTTTTTTCTTTAAAATTATTTTATTTAACTTTAGTTATTTTAATCTGACCAGAGAGGGACAGAGTGAGACAGGGAAAGTGAGAAAGCAAGCCACCAGGTCCAGGACTCAAACCACAGTCGGCCAAGTCACCCTTAACACACTTAACCACCATGCCACCTGCCGATGGCCTTTTTTTTTTTTTTAATTTTATTTTTTATTATTGCTTTATAGGGCATGTGAGAGACAGAGAAAGCAAGCCACCAGGTCCAGGACTCAAACCATGGTTGGCCATCAGGGAGTCCAGCACTTTAACCACCACGCCACCTGCTGGCCCCAACAATGTTTTTTTCTAATGGGGCTAGGAAAAGCCTGGAGCACCTGGGAACAGTCCTCTGTGCTGCACCCTGGAGTGTCGCCCCCCCCTTGATGTGAACACAAGCCTCTCTTAGTTCAGCCCCAGTATGTCTCACATGGACTGCCATTCAGAGGCCAGCAGGTGGCGCAGTGGTTACGATGCTTAACTCCAGCAATAGGTGGCATGGTGATTAAGTGTACTGGACTCCCACGTGGCTGAGTTTCGAGTCCCAGATCTCGTGGCTTGCTTTCTCTCACACTGTCCTTCTCTGATCAAATATAAATAAAGTTAAATAATTCTAAAAAAAAAAAATTGATGCTGAACTCCCACGTGGTCCACTGCGGTTTGAATCCTGGACCTAGAGGCTTGAAACTCACGCTGAGTGTTCGTGGATGCAAGCCCAAAATCCTGAGAGAATGGAGATGGGATTGTGGTATGGCCAAGCCTTGGGCGTGGTGTCATTTTTGGCTTTCTGTCCTCTCGTCTCGCGGTAAGCTCACATGACTATGTTAAAAATTTCTCTTCAGAAAAAGAGAAAAACTTTGCCAGTTTTGCTGACCCCATTCCATGCTAATAAGAATAAGTTTTTAGCTGCAAGAGTTGTCTTTTTATAAGTTCTTGTTAATATGCATTTTGAAGAGTTTCAGTCTAGCAGCCAGCCCTTTCAGGACTGCTATTCCTCCTCGTGAGATAATCAGCTCTTTGAGATTCTCATTCAAAACATCGTGTTGTGAGAGGTTTCACTTCATTAATATCTGGGGGCTAATAGATGGGTCAGGTGTCCACATGAGCCCTTTTCTAAGATGAGGCTCTACAGCTTTCAACAAGATGCTCATTGCGGCGCAGTTTGCGTCCTGGACCCGGTGGCTTAAACTCACGCTGGGCGCGTGTGCGTGCGTGCCCAAGATCCCGAGAGGAGAATGGAGGAGAAGGGATTGTGGTGTGGCCATCCACCATAGGGGGTGATTTCTCACTTTCTGTCTGTCTCTGTCTTTCTGGAGAGCGCATGCACCCTATAGCAAAAACTTCCCCCAATAAAAGATTCTCAGGTCAGGATGTGGCACTGTGGTTAAGGCACTGGATCCCACATGGCCGACAATGCAGTTTGAATCCTGGACCTGGTGGCTTAAAAAACACACTGAGCATGTGTGCATATGTGCCCGAAATCCAGAGAGGAGAATGGGTGAGAAGGGACTGCAGCTTAGCCATCCCCTCAGGGACTGATTTCTCACTTTCCCTCTTTCTTCACCTCTCTCCAGAGAGCACACATACTCTATAGCCAAAATCTTAAAAACAAACAAACAAACAAAAAACCTCCAAACCTTCCACTCCAAGAGGGTTTAAGAACCATGGATAAGGTTCAATCCTTTTTTCTTCAGATGAGAACAGGATCTAGAGGACCCTGACCATTCTCACTGCCCCAGGCCCTGGGGCAGGTTCTAGGGAGAACCCGAGCTTCCCGACTCCTATTCCAGTGCTCTTGGCCCTGTGTGGGCTCCCTTCCGGGCAGGCGCACTGCTTTCCTCTCCCCGTCCTGCGTGGGCTGAAGCCCCGTCTAAACCGGTTTTTTCCAGCCTCGTGCCGAAAGCTCCAGCGAGCTGCCACCAGGGGGCAGTGATGCTTGAGCTGGTGGCACACGGAATCTGGACTTGGGCCAGCCTCCCTCCTCCCGCTCAAGGGCAGGCTCTGAAATGGTCTGTCTTTATTTTTCCATCAGAAAACACAACCAAAAAGGCCAAGCCCAGTGTAAACAGGAGAGATGTGCTGGTTAAGTTATTCATCATCTTATTAACAAAATAAAGCACTATCTATGTTTACAGTCATAAAAAAGAAACAGCCTGCAGAGAGAGGGGAGCTGAGGGGTGGGGAGGGGAGGGGAAGACCCCTGTGGGCTTTGGGGATCCCTTCCCACCCTGACCCAAGGGCTATTCCAGATCTCTGGAGTTAGGTTATCAAGGGGACTGGATTTCCTTAGGGGAAGAACTTGTGAAGCTGATGGGGGCTAAGACCCTTTCCTGGGGCAGAGTGGGGTGGTGGGGAGTCCCTGACCCGGTGTTCATGAGGGAGGAACTGCTGAGGGAGCCCGTGGGAGCCCTCTCCAGGCCTCGGTCACCACAGGAAGGGCGGACTTCAGTTCCGCCCTACTCCTGGTCCCCAGGTCAGGACTAGGGCTGGGCCACAGAGCCCTGTGGAGGGAGGCTGATCGGAGCCAGCCAGCTGGCAGTCAGGGAGAGCGTGGGGGTCAGCAGGGGGTCAGGAAGGCGGATGGCCCAGGGCCTAAGAAGACCCAGAGAACCAAGACTAGGTGGCATCAGGGACAAGGACAGACACCGAGAGGGGGAGAGAGAGAGAGACAAAGAGGGCTTTGCAGAGAGACAAGGACAGCAAAACACACACACACAAGGATGCACAGAACCTGAGACACCCAGACCAACAAAGAGGTAGCAATTTGGGGACAAAGAGACGCACAGAGGCCCCCAGAGAAGCAAGTGTGGCATCAAGACCCACCCACAGGAACACAGCCATGGTGCATGGCACACGGTGGGCACTCAATAAATATCTTGTGCAAGGAATGAACAGAAGAAAACACACACACACACACACACACACACACACAGGCGCGGAGCAGCCAGAGGCACGTTGGGCTCGGCAGAGAAAGACGGCGAGGACGCAGACCCTTTTGCACACGGTACAAAGTAACCCTGCTGATCGAGGTGTGATGAGAGTGGGAAGGGGTGTTGGTCCCACAGTGGCCGGTCCAGCCATGGCAGGAATGGAAACAAAGCATGTGACCCAGGACAGGACGCGTCTGTAGCTGCCATACCCCCCCAGGGGGTGGGGTGCTGCAGGAGAGGAGGGTCATACAGTGTCCCCTGGCAGGAGCCCCGAGGGCTGGGGAGTCGGCCAGCCCAGCCAGCCCGGCCCACACCACCAGGCAGGCCTGTGCCCCTAAGCCAACAGCACCACGGGTGTGCCAGGGTGTGGCGGGAGGGGGCGCCCCCTCGCGAGTATCTACAAGTGCAGAGCTCTGCCATCTCCCGGGCACGCCCCAGTCCAGTACCGACACCGTCCAGGCGGCGGCTGTGCCCGTGGTGCTGGGTGAGGTCTCTGTCCCCAGCAGAGGGGAGGCCAGCGCACGCTGGCTTCAGTCCGTGAGCACCACCAGCTCCCCGTCGCTCTTCTCCTCGCCCTCTGAGTCCTCGTCCTCGCTGTACCGGTACATCTCGCCATCAGCCACCGAGTGCCTGTCGTCTGCGCCCTCGCCCTCCTCCCGGAGGCTGCAGGTGTTGACGATGACAGGCATGTTGGGGTCCAGGCTCTGGGGGACGTAGTGCTCCACCAGCTGCTGTGCCAGGGGCATGCCCGCTGCCCGGGGGTACAGGACCTCTGAGGAGCTCATCTGCACCTGGCCAGCCTGCGGACTGAGGGCGGAGAGGAGGGTGTTACAGAGGCACCCTCACTCGGAGTGAGCGCAGCACCCCTCCGGGCCCCTCAGGGTGAGCTCTCCCACCCACAGCCTCCTGGCTCCCCGATTCATGCCCCTGTCCCCTCGGCCACTTTCTGATGGTTAAATTCGTGTCAGCTACAGCCCTGTAGACTGTGACCGACCCAGGACATGGGCATGATCAACAGTGTTCTCAGGGGATCCCAGGGGAACCCACCTTTCAGAATCTGCCTATTTCAAATGCCCTGAGAGACTTTCTGTTTAAAGGATCCCACTAGGGTGCTGGCCTGGGCCACGTGATCTTCGCTAGCTCTGAATGTGGCAAGTCCATCAGAAACGCGACCCGCAGGCACATTTCAGGGCCCTGGCCAGCCCCCTAATCACTCGGTCCTGTTACCCATATCCTCAGCCACCGAGCGCCCAGGCACGCATGCAGCTCTGCGGTCCAGCTACACAGACCACACACACATGTACAACTCTCACACAGGGTGGGCAGATGCATACGTGGCACCCGAGTCACGCACAAAGGCAAGCCGTACACCAGCCCCAGTCACTCACGAGCTGGGCACGCGCGCGCGCACAGGCTCTCGGCCCCGCGGGGGGCCTGCTCACGGGATCACGTAGCTCTGGCGGGCGTCCTGGCGCCGGGTCCGCATCAGGGCCTTGTACTCGCCCACACGCAGCCGCTTGCCTTCCACGATGCAGGTGCGCTTGGGCCGCGGCTTGTACTTGTAGTCGGGGTACTTCTCCAAGTGCTGCCGGCTCAGCCGCGCCTGTTCCTCGTAGTAGGGCTGCTTCTCCTGGTTGGTCATGGACTTCCAGCGGGAGCCTGGCCAAGGCCCCAAGACAGGCAGTCAGCGCTGCGCTCCGCTGGCCGCCCCCAGCCCCCTGTGGGTCTCGGAGGCCCTGGGGGATGATTTCTCACTTTCCCTCTCGCTATCTCTGTCTCTCATTCCCGCAAGCACACATGCTCTGGGGCAAAAAAAAAAAAAAAAAAAAAACTCTTTAAAAAAAAAAAAAAGAAAAAAAGAAAGGGACCAGCAGATAGCACAGCATAATGGCTAAGTCACTGGACTCCCACAGAGTTGACCATGGTTAGAGTCCCAGACCCAGCAGCTTAAAACTCACACCGGGCACGTGTGTGTCCGAGCACAAAATCGAGAGAGGAGAATGGAGAAGGGATTGTGGCGTGGCTATCCCCCAAGGGGGGTGATTTCTCAATTTATGTGTCTCTGTCTCTCTGGTGAGCACACGTGCTATAAATAAGTAAATAAATAATAAAAAAATAAAGGCTTAGCCTCATGCACTCCCCAAATAAACCAGTGACTTCCGGGAGGCCTCTGGTCTGCTGGATTTGCACAAAGAAAAGAGCAGCCACCCTGGCCTCCATGACCCGTCAGGCTCCCAGCTCAGGATAGCGTACTTAGTGTCTAGTGGACAATGGACCTGCATGGACACTGCAGGACCCTCAGTTTTGGAAACAATAGCCTCTTCTAGCCCCATCTGCCCTGTTCTGCAGCCCTCCTCGGCCTCCACTCAGGAGTGATTTAAAAAACCTTTCTACCCAAAGCTTAAGAACACTAGCCTCTCCTGTTTTCTGCCAGAGTCAGCTCCAAGCATCTGGGCAAACAGCAGAACAGGTGAGGGTGAGACCCGGGGCGAAAGCACGCGCACAGGCCAGCTCTGCAGTGCAGGAGTGTGCTGCTCTAGAAAAGCCGGGTCCCATATGGCGACCACAGCATGGCCAGCCCGGACCACGCTGGGCATGATCAGGAGTGCCCTGGATCCGACGCACTGGAGGACTGGGGAAGGGGATCACAGGGTGACCAGACCCTGCAGGGTGCTAATGTCTCTCACTCAATATTCAAGCAAACAAAAAGAATGGCCGACCTCGGGGCTGGGGGTTGAGGTGGCAGGAGCCCACGTAGCCAACTGACCATGAAGTTCAAGTCCTGAAACCAGCGGCCTGAGAAATATGCTGGGCACATATGCAGGAGCCCCCAAAATCCCAGAAGGGGATTGTGGAGTGCCCGTGCCCCACAAGAGGTACTCCTGCACTCTGTCTCTCTCTCTCTCTCTCACCAGTAAGTGCATGTGCCCTCTGGCAAAAGCTTTTAAAAATGTACACTCATGCGCGCACACACTCCGAGTCCTTGGGGTCAGGGGCTACCAGAAGAGCCCTGCAGTGGTTACAAGAACCAAGCCCCAACCGCCTCCACACCCGACCAGATTCCGGGTGTGGAATATCACCCAGCAAGCCCGAGTAGCCCCAGCTGGCTCCTGCACCAGGTCCTACCAGCCCAGAGCCCTGAGTGTCCGGAGCCCCAGAGCCTAGAATGGGCCTTACCTAGGATCTTGCTGATGCTGGAGTTGTGCATGTCCGGGAAGGCCTGGAGAATCTTCCGGCGCTCGTCCTTGGCCCACACCATGAAGGCATTCATGGGCCTCTTGATGTGGCTGTTGTGTCGGGACTCAGGGAAGGGGCGGGAGCCTGGGGGCAGGGTCAGAGTCAGCTGGCACTGCCTAGGGAAGGGAGAGTCCCCTAGGCGTAGTGTGGACTTCCCCTGCTTGACCACTAGGGGGAAATGCAGAGACTCCCAGAGCACCTGCCTGGGAGGAGCAAGGCAGCAGCAGAGGGTGGCAGCAGAGGGCAGAAACACAGGAAGTGGAGCCACATGGGCCCTCAGATGACAGCGTGGAGGCCCAGTAGGCACAAGATGCAGGAAAGCAGGCTCAGAGAGCTGACAGGTGGGATGGGGCAATGGAGGCATGCACACCCGGAGACACCAGGGTCAGGAGGGACGGAGCCAGACACCAGCTCTCACACCCTGCAGCCCTGCGCCCAGAGCTCTCACCGTCCACGTCACAGCTCAGCATGGCTTCTTCCAGCGGGTGTACACAGCTCTCCTCCAGTCGCTCCTTGGCTGGGGACGAGTCCAGGTTGATGAGGTCCTGGGGCCGACAAGGACAACCTCGCATCAGCCCCTCTGCATCACCCCGCTCCTCCCCCACGCGGTAGTCTCAGACCCTGTCTTCACCCACTGCTCTTCACCTTCCGGAAGGGAGTGCTGGGGGAGCCTTCCAAGGCCCCGCTGTGGCTGTGCAGCAGCTGTCGAGCATCCTGGATGGCTTTGGTGACAGCATCCCCCTCACCAAGGAAGCCTAGGAAAGGGTGGTGGGAGAGAGGAAGAGGAACTGAGAGGTCCTCCTGGCCTGAGCCCAAACTCCAGAGGCCCCGCCCTGCCTGCCACTTCCATGGGTTACCCAGGTAGCCGCCCCTTGTCCCTCCGAGGCAGCTGTACTCACACCCCCAAGGGGGTGCCATCTTCCTTGGCTGTCGCATGGCTGGCACTGTGCGACTCAGGGGCCTGAACCCCTGACCACAGTACCAAAGATGGGCCTTCTGAAAACTAGCTTAACCCCTTGCTTTATAACAGCGGGAACCCAGACAGGGTGGAGAGGCAGGCCGAGGTTCTTTCAAGCCTCTGGTTCTCCTCTGAGAAGGGGCTGGTAGAAAGGGTGCAGGCGACAGAGGGCTTACCCAGAGGCAGGCCAGGAGGGCTGGACTGCAGGTCCCGCATGGGGGCCCCATGGCTGGGAGGGCGGGGTCCACAGCCGCTCAACTTCAGGCCAGGGGAGCTGGAGGTGTTGGACAGCTCAGTGGCCTTGGGCTTGGCGGTGAGGTTCAGGGGCTGGGAAGACTCCTAGGAGAGCAGAAGGCCACAGTGAGAGACACCAAGGAAGACCCGTGCAGAGGACAGAGAAGAGCACACCCAGAACAGACCGGAAGACAGACAGGAAACGTGACAGGAGAACCAGAGCGAAGGATCCCAGGGTTCACTGGGGCACTGCACACCCCACAGTCCCCCAGGAGGGCAGCTGGCCAGCCTTGCCAGGGAGGGAGCCCCAGGCTGCGAGCCCCAGGCCGTGGGCAGGAGGCAGTACCTGCAGGGGGTGGTGGGCAGCCACGGCCCCAGGCCTCTTCAGCACTGGGGCAGGGGGGCCATGCAGCAGCGGCAGCGGGTACTCCACTGTGGAAAAGGCGGCAGGGAGAAAAGTCCTGGATGAGCACAGAACAGCATACGCCTGCTTGACGAGGCCCCAGCACCACGAGGTGGGCAGGGCCCGGAACTGGCCAGCTTGGTTCCAACCACTGCCCACCCAGGCCCCGAAACACCACGGGGAAACCCAACCCCTAGCCCCTTGTCCCCACTGCCCTACAGACTGACTGGCAACTTCACCCTGTTCCTGCCCTTCCCAGCCCCCTCTAAAGTTTCCCAGAGACCACACGGTCTGACAACAGGTGCAGCTTCCACTCATTCAGCAGACACTAAGGTTCTGGACCTCCTCTGTGCAGGTACAGAGCAGCCGCCTGCTGTGTGGCACGCTAAGCACCATGTCACAGTAATCCACGGTGTGGCATAAAATGGGCACATATGTCAGTGTTCCATGTTACAGATGGGAAAGAAGCACAGACCTTAGAAGGGAAATGGGTTGCCTTCAGAGCCATTAAATGGCAGCACTAGGATTTGAACCCAGGTCCTTTAGATTCCAAAGCCCATCCTTCCCCTCTACATGCACTCTCTCCTATCTACCCCACCTCACACACCCTCAAACAGGCCCAGTATCAAGCAGTTGACAGTTGAGGTGAGAGACAAGCCATGCATGTGTACGAATGTCCAACCACATGGCAGGTGGAGATATGGGCACACAAGAACCTGGGCCCCGCTAGGGGACAGCAGGCTTCCCGGGGGAGCTGCGACGTGAGCTTGGGCCTGCAGGAGGGCAGGATTCATGGTGGCGATGGCGTAGTGGGGGCTGTGAGAACGAGATGTGGGGAGTGAGACGGGCGCGTGGACACGGGCAGCTCAGGCATCGGGACTCCGTGCTGTGCACCAACAGCCCCACCTGAAGTTCGTGAGCCAGGAGGGGTGTTATTCAGTCAGCTGACAGGCACCTGGCAGCCTGCAGGACCCCTGCCTGACTGAATTCTGGGACCAACAATGCAGGAGGCAGCCTCGCCAGCCCCGGTCTCCGGAGCCTCTTTCCAACCCTCCTGTCCAGAGTATTCTGTGGTCCCGACCCCTGGCCAGGGCACTGCTCTCTTCCCTTTCGAGCTCTGCTCCACATTCATCTGGAGTTGTGATGGCCTTGTGCCTTGCCCTGTCCTCGACCTGCAGAGCCCCCCCCACTTCGACTCCCCCCGCAGCTAACTGGAAATGTCCTTCAACACAGGGCCTGCTGGAGCCCACCTGGGCTGCTGCGACCAAGTCGTATGAGCTGGGTAGTTGAAACACATGAGAAATCCCTTCTGACAGTTCTGGAGGCGATCCGGCCCTACCTTGAGTCTCGCTTGTATCTGCTTTAGGTGACAGATGGGATTTTGGACTTTAAACTTTTGAGTTGATGTGCGAACAAGTTAAGACTTTTAGGGCACCTGGGATAGAATGCGTGCATTCTGGGGGCTGGCAGGTGGCGTGGGGGTTAAGGGCTCTGGACTCCCATGTGGTGGACTGCAGTTCAAGTCCTAAACCTGGCGGCTGGCTTTCTCACTTTCTCTTTCACTGTTCCTCTCTAGTCAAATTAAAATAAATAAATAAATAAAGTTAAAAATAAAAATAATTAAAAGAAAAAGATTGAGTGCATTCTGCATGTGAGAAGCACATGAATTTGGGGGGCAGGGGCAGGATACTATGGTCTGAATTGTGTCTCCCTATAATTCATACATTGACACTAATCCCCATGGGACAGTATTGGAGGTGAGGTCTTCTGGATGTTAGTACTAGCAGGTGGGGGCTCATGCATGGGATACTGCCCTTCCAATGGCCCCCAGGAGCTTGTCCACCCACACAGCTACAGCTAGAAGGTGCCGCAGTGAAACAGGTCCTCGGCACACACTGCATCTGCCGGCACCCTGATCACGGGCTTCCGGACTCTGAAACTGAGAAACAGCAGCTGTCTGCAAGCCGCCGTCTGCGGCACTTCGTGACAGCAGTCCCAAGTAGACAGGACCTGACTTCTCAGTCGGCTGAGTTCCCCTCTGCCCTGCCCCTAGTGCCTGGTACGAGCAGGCAGGAGCAGAGAGCAGCGGGGCTGACAGCAGTGGGTACCACGGGCCCCAGGCCTCAGGCAGCCTCCCAGAAACACTATGGAAGGTCCCCTTCCTTCTCTTTCGCACTTGCAGGACAGGGAGGGTAGGCCAGAGGGAGTGGGCTTTAAAGCTCTCCCTACCCCATGGGGCAATGAGGCAGCATCTCTGCCCCACTAGGGAGCTCAGGAATTCTCTCTGGTTCAAGTACTGGACCTGTGGCTTGCTCTCTCTCTCTCTGTGTAAGTATGTTCTAATCAAATTAAAATAATAATAATGGGTACAATTATTATTTTTTTTTTAAAAAAGAAGCCTTCCCAGACTCCCTAGTTACCGAGATCCTTCTCTTTCTCCCTCCCCAATCTGTACATTCCTTGAGATCAAAGTTCGTATTTTATCACCTCCACGGTGCCCCAGCAAGCGCCGAGTCTGAAGGAAGTCTGCCTGCTCAAAGTCACTGATGGGAGAGAAGATGGGGTGGCAGCTGCTAGAACCGGGGAGATACAGACTTCTGCTCATCGCCGAGAGACATTTAGAGACCAGCAGGCAGTAGTGGGTCAGGCACTGAACTCCCGCATGGCTGCCTGCGGTTACCTGGCAGCTTGAAACTCACGCCGGGCATGTGTGTGTGCAAGCCCAAAATCCCAAGAGGAGAATGAAGGAGAAGGGACTGCGGCATGCCCATCCCCTTTCTCTCTCTCCATCTGTCTCTCCAGCAAGCGCACATGCCCTACAGCAAAAATCCCCTCCCCAACAAAAGGAGTCCAAATATTCATATGCTGTACAGGAAATGCTGCGGAACCAGGCAGGCTAGACCCAGATGGCGACATCCTCTCCCATCTGGAAAGCACTTCACAGTTTTCTTCTCACTGTCCCAGTGTAGTTCGGACAGAAGAGATCATTCTTCCACCAGACAGATCTGAAGCTGAGGTCCAGAGGGCCATAGCAGCTTCCTGGGTAGGAGCGGCTCTGGGGCTCCTTCTCGGACCTTGGGACAAGCCAGCCTCAGCTGTGGCACCCCACCACCACCACCACACTCACCTGGTTTGCAGGGCACGGGCTGAATGGGCAAAGCCAGCTGGGAGTCAGGGGTGACAGGCAGAGGTTGGTGGCTTGGGGGGAAGGCTGGGATCATGACGTAAGGCATGTTGACCTGCTGAAGGCAAAGGAACCCTGTGTGCGTCCCCAGGGGCCCAGAGAGCTGCCCAGCGGTGTAAGCCTCCGATATGGAGGGTGGGCCCAGGAGGACAGGCATAGAGCATGGCCAGTCTTCAGAAGGATCCACCTGACCTCGTGCCACCACCAGGGCCCCTGTCTACCTGCTGCCCTCCAGTCTCAGCTATGGAGGAGAACATTCTGGGCCCCTCCTTTAAACAGGGAAAGGAGACAGGCTGGGGACTAGGGCAGAAATAAGGGCCCCCACCATGGGGTCAGGCGGAGTGATTCTCCTGTGGGCATGTTAGCTTGGGCCACATCCACTCCCCGCCCTTGTCCTCGGCACTTTCTAGGAAGGCGCCAGCCCGGGCCTGCTCTTCACCCCAGGTCCCCTCTCATTACCTGGATCTGCTGCTGGAGGAGGTTAATCTTGTGCTGCTGCTGAATCAGCTGCTGCTGCTGCTTAGCGATCTGGGAGGGAGAAGGAAGCCAAGGAGCCCTGGGCATCAGCCTTGGCACCCGCTCCTTGCCCGGAGCCTGCCCCAGCCCTAACCACACCGTGCCATTTACACTGGGGCAACCATGGAGAAAGCTAGGGGTGGGGGAGAAACATACCCTCAGAAGTGATTCTCCTTGTATGGGAGCTCACCCTGCCCAGAGGAGGAGGAGGGCTGATCTCCCTGTAGAGCCCTTTAGCACCCTCCACACCCCGTACCCCCAGTAAGAGCTTATGAATCAGCCAGAGGTGGGACTCTTACAGCCCCAGCCTGGGAGGCGCGCCCCCAGGGTGCTCCTCTCTGGGCCCCTCCCCTGGAGAGAATGCCCAACACTCAGGCGTGCCCACCTGCTCCTGCTGCTGCCGGGCCAGCTCCATCTGCTGCTGCTGCTTCTCGAACAGCATGGCAGCCATGTTCTTCTGCTCTGCATGCGCCGTCAGAAGCTGGTCCCGCAGGGTGGACAGCTGGTGGGTCATGACCAGAAGTTGAAGCTCCTTCTCTGCCAGGCTCTCCTGGGTCCCTGTGTCACAGTGAGACAGCCACCACTGAGGGTTTTAGTTTGTTCCTCTAGCCACCCATCCACACAGCCACCCACTCACTCATCTACCCGACGTGTCCCAAGCAGTCGCCATCCCAGGCCCTGTTAGGGGCAGAGCAGCCGAGATGATGAGACACTGTCCTCATCTTGCCATCTGACGACTAGCTGGCCTAACAGTTCCCCGCCATTAGGTGCCAATTACAGGCCTTGGACATGCTGATGGGGGCCTCTTGGATGTCCTCGAGTGCCCAGTGCCACTGGGCCAGGGTGGACAACCATTTCACGGGGGCCTAGCACATGCTCAGCTTTGGAATGGGACAGGGCTTGGTCCAATTTCCCATTCCCGCCACCCCGCCTGTGAGCTGCTGGGCTAGATGCCATGCCTCTGCACTCGAGGGCTCTGTTTTCACGTATTAGCAGGCTCGGTGACAGTCCTTTCTCAGGTGACTGCCAGGTCCTCTTGTCTAGGATCCAGCAAGCGGTTTCCACCAATAATGGCCGGTCTGAAGCAGCAGTTTATGCCCCAGGGGCAGGCCACAGAACACCTGCATCACAACCACTCAGGGATGCCCGGGCCTTCACCCCTGGGGCTGTCATTCAGTAGGTAGCAGGAGAGCCTGGGCATCTGTGGGGTGTTTTGTTTTTTGAATTTGTTATAGGGCAAGTGCACTCACTGGAGACAGAAGGGTAAAGGAGAGAATGAGAAACACCTCCCGGGGGGATGACCACACTGCAATCCCTTCTCCTCCGTTCTCCTCTCGGGACTTTGGGCACATATGCACATGTGCTCAGAGTGGTTTTCAAGCCACTGGGTTCAGGCCTCAAACCACATAGTTGGTCATGTGGGATCCAGCCACCTGAATGACCATGCCACCAGCTGGCCCCCACGTTTTATTGAAGTTTTTTCTGTGAGTGTGTGAGGTCAACTGCACTGGGAAACGGTCACTTCAGGAGCCCACACTGAGCCCCTGGTGGCTTGGATTTACTTTCAGCAGTGAAGGGGACTTCCTACTCATTTTCCAGTTAGATCCCGGAAGTGGCCACGCCATGCCTGCAGTCACGAGGGTCCCTGGGAAAGGCCCAAATCCATGCCAGAGGAGCTGAGTCTCTCAAGCTCCTCCTGCATGAGGATGAGCCAGATCTGATGGCTGTGAGGGGTGGGGGAGAGGGTGGTGACCCTTAGGGCTGGCAGGGGCCATGTGGCACAGGGCAGGAGCCAGGGTACCAGGAGCCCCCAGCATGCATGGCCAGGCCAGGAGAAGGGAGGGAAGTGCAAACATCCTGGCCCTACCCGCCACCCACCCCCGACACGGGCTTCACCTTTGACATCTTTGGTCTCCACAGAGTTCCTTCCCAGAAACCTCTCCTTCCAGTCACTGGACAGAAGCTTCTCAATGGCTGGCACGACTGGAAGACACAGAAGCGATGAGGGACAGCCATGCTTACAGTGCTGCCCGGCTTGCCTCCAACCAGGCAGGCGCTGAGCTTCTTGCTTATTTTTTGTTTTTGTTTTTTAAATTACCAGAGGGTGTATGCACTCATGAGAGAAAGAGAGAGAGAAAGAGCCCACAATGGGGCATGGTCACACTAAAATCCCTTCTCTATTTCTTCACCCTGTTGGAATTTAGGGCACAAACACATCTGTGTTTTTCAAGCCACCCGGGCTAGGATTTGGGCCACACAGTTGACCATGTGGGACTCTGGCTTCCTTAGCCACCAGGCCATGGGCCCAGCCCCATCTTACCTTCTTTTAAGTTTCGGTTGAAGTCCAGTTTCTCCTGGCTTCCAGAAGCAGCCTCAGAGGCTCCTGCTTTCTTGGGCTCTGGGGACCCATTGGTCTCTGGAGAGCTACAGTCCTGCAAGGCACACTGAAATGTCACTGCCTCCCCAGGAGGAGGACAGTCCGCAGGGAGAGGTCAGACCCCAGAGATGTCCCAAGGGGACTCTAGACTCTACCCAAGCCCTACCGCCCTACCCTGCAGCCCTTCTCCCCCAGCTCCCCAACCGTGGCTCACACTTCACTTGATATGTTGGAAAGAACAAAAGAGTCGAAGACAAAAGATGGGGTTTCGGTCTAGGCCGGTGACTCACAGGTGCTGGATCCCAAACAAGTCCCTGAGCTTCTCTGAACCTGACTTCCCTCTTCTGAAAAGGCAAACACTAATTCCTCCCCTGTTGCAGGATTGTCACTGGATCAAGGGAGTTAGCACATGTGGAGGTTTGCCAGTGCAGAGCCAGGGTCCATGCCAGCTGTTAAGTCGGGTACTAAGGATCACTCCAGCCGGGCTGGCTCCTCACAGGGCCCCCACCCACCCCTCCTTAGGAATCGCTCCTTACTCCTCTTCTCATCTAACTCCTCATCCTTTAAGGCCCAGCCTGAGGTCTCACTCCTCTAGGAAGTCTTCCTTGATCACCTCTCTCTCCTCCAGGATGGATTCCTCCTTAGAGCCCAAGAACTCTCCTATTTTCACTCATTTAGCTTTTAATTATACATTTCTTTTTTACATCTCCTGCATAAAAATCACAGAATTTTTTTAAAGGCCTTTGCTATAGGATGCATTTAGTCACAGAGAGAGGGAAAGTGAGAAATCAACCCCCCGGGGTGATGGCCACACCAGAATCCCTTCTCCTCCATTCTCCCAGGATTCTGGACACGCACACACACAAATGTGCCTGGCATGATTTTCAAGCCACCAGGTCTGAGATTTGAACTGTGGTTGTCCATGTGGGGAATCTAGCACCTTAACTACTATATACTACCTGCTGGCCCCAGGAATCACAGAATATTTAAGAAATGCAAGAATCCTAGGGAACCAGCAGTTTAGCATAATGGCTATGTTGCTGGACTCCCACGTAGTTGACCACGGTTCACGTCCTGGACCCAGTGGCTTAAAACTCACGCCGGGCGCGTGTGCGTGCGTGCCCAAGATCCCAAGAGGAGAATGGAGGAGAAGGGATTGCAGCGTGACCATCCCCCCCCGGGGGGTGATTTCTCGTTTTCTGTCTCTATGTCTCTCTCTGTCTGTCTGGCAGGTGCATGCGCACTATAGCAAAAATCTCTCCACAAAAAAAAAGAAAAGAAATGCGAGAATCCTGACTGATGGGGCCATTTTCTGTTTAGACCCTGAATTTGACTCTTGCTTGAGTAGTGAGGCTGATTTCCCCAAACTGCATGAAAAATCTGGTAGGTAACTCTACAGAGAAATTCTCAGCAAGTATATCCCACCCCACCAGCTAGTCCTTAGGCACACAGACTGGATCTCACGAAGGTGAGCAGCCGCTGTCGGGCGTAAGGAGTCCACGCTGCCCTTACAGGTGACCTGTTGGAGGCTTCCAGCCTGAACTCAGCGGCCTCTCCCCACTCCTCCCTGAAGCAACCTTCTGTGAAGTCCACCCTTCCTGCAGCCAGGGGCAGAGGAGGGACACTGACCCAGGAGCCCACGGGAAAGTGCGGGCACCTGGGCTGGAGCTTGCAGGTCAGCACTGTCCTGAGAGGCCCGGGCTGGGTCTCCAGGCTGGGGTTCAGCAGCGGTGGCTGAGGCCTGGGGGACTTCGTGGGCAGGCTCCTTCTTCTCCTCGGACTTGATGGTGCAGTTCACCATGGTGCCAACGCCATCCAGGGCCAGCTGTGCAGAGACGGGGCTCCTCATGGACATCCTGGAGATGGGGACAGTGCGAGCCACGGTGAGTCCACATCTGTGCCCCAGAGGCAGAGACTCCAGACACAGTGTGTCTCCCAGCACCTCAACACCCCTCAAACAGGGACACCAACAAATGCAAGCTTACTTCTGGAACCCACAGAAAAACTAGAACAGCTCTTCTACCCCTTATAGTGTTTTGGTTTTTAGAAAGAAGGCCCTAGAGAAGAGGAGCTCCCATCTTTGGCACTACCTGTCCCTTGTGACGTTAGGACTAGTGACATTTGGGCTTCCTAACTAAGGAAGCCCTAGATTGTCAGTTGGCTGCTGCTAAGCTGAAGAGTGTATGTGTATGTTTGTGTCTGGCTGTCCCTGTGTATCTCTGTGCATATATATACCTATTTGTAATTAGTTACCAAACTCAAAAAGCAAGAAATGGCCCACAAATCTGGATTTGAACTTTCAGCAACACTGCTGTTGTACCAAAGACTGACTGGAACTGAGTCGCACTTCTTATGAACAAGCCATTCGGCCTTAGTCGCTGCCACCCCCTACTGCCCCCCAAAAAAGAAATTAATTATTAATTACCTTACTTAAGACACTTACTCTTTTTTTTTTCTTATAGGAGAGAAGAGGTTGAAGTGAAATATTCTTATTTTATCAAAAGTGAGAAAATAAAAAAAAAATAAAAGTGAGAAAATAAATAAGCTGAGAAGTCAGTAGGGTTAAGATCAATATCTTCTGGTATCTAGCTAGAGTCTCAGTGCAGGCATTTGACTTTGCAAGTGGGGTTGAGCAGCTGGTGCACCTGGCAGGCTCTCCCCACCGGGCTCCCCTCCTGTCACACCATGGCCTGGGGTTCTACAGGACCTCAGGAAGTGGTTTCCAGCAGTCACGCCAGGCTGGGAAAAGAGCAGCGGGTGCCACCCTGCGAAGTCCCTGGGGCAAGTACCCAGAGATCTGCTCTGGGCTCAGGGTACACTACGGCAGGGCTCCGTGTGACTCTGGACAATTACTCAGTCTCTCTAAACCTTAGCTTCGTTGTCCTGAAAGTGAACCTAAGAGTTCCTACTAGACCAGCCTGTGGCCTGGTGGTTGGGGCGGTTGGGTCCTACATTGCCAACCATGTAGTTTAAGTCCAGGACCTGGCACCTTGAAAAATATGCCAAGTGCATGTGTATATACTCAGAATTCCAACAGGAAGGAGAAATGAAGGTGAAGGGATTGACTGTTACCCATGGAGGAGTGCTATCTCTCACTGTCTCAGCAAGTGCATGCACTCAAGGAAAATTAAAAAGAAACAGGGCCAGCAGGTGGCATGGTGGATAAAGGAGCTGGATTCCCACATGGCCAAGCATGGTTTGGGTCCCGGACCTGGTGGCTTGCTTTCTCACTTTCCCTTTCTCTCTTTCTGTCTGTGTCTAGTCAAATTAAATAGAAAAAAATAAATAAATGAGGCCCTACCTTATAGGGTGGACGTCGAGTTGGAGCATGCATGGACATTTACACAAATGTGTTTAAGAACAGTCCATGCTGCTAGGAGGGGGCTGTCTGTAAAACCACTGGTACTGACGGTGCAGTATGGGAACCAGCAACCTCAGCAGAGCTAGGGGGTTTGCTTGAGAGGTAAAGAGATATGGGACCAACCCACAGCTCAGAATCTCGGGGCAAGGCCAGGGAACTGTTTCAACAGGTCTTCCAGGTGATTCTCATACAGACTAATTAGCGATGCATTGTTAGAACTTAAACGGCTCAAGAACTGTTTTACATGGGGATTACATTGAGGGGGAGGGCAAATCAGATACAATAAAACATCCTTCGAATCAATCACAGGTACAGCATGATGTTTGCATATTGCATCAACTCTGCAGATGCATCTGAATAGATTGCATCAACGCTATATACTGTTTCTTATAAAGTATACAATGACTCACCCGATGTGACAGCGCCACATACAATAGAGTACAGGACAGGACTTTAAATGAAATAGCGAAGAGTATTGTAATTGAGTAAGATATATACGTGGCTATGGTTTGGATTTGACTCCACCCTACAAATCAGACCAGACTACCTTCTCCTGCTCACATACTTCCAAAGTGCAAGGGCTACAGCAGGACCCAGGACAGGGCCCTGCAAGGGGAGGTGAGAGGGGCCTACCTGACCCTAAGAACATCAGCCCATCTCACCTAGAGGAAGAAAAAACAAGTCCCCAGTTCGCCCTGGGGTGCCCTCCCACCACCCAGGGGCCTGGAGAGCGTCCAGGAAGCCGGTGGCTCAGCCCATCCGGGCACCAGGAGGGGCTGGGGCGAGAAGCTGGGGTGGAAGGAGTCGGGGAGGGGTATTATCCTGAAGCCAGGGCAGCAATTACATAACAAACAAACCCCGGGCTCAAGCTGTGAATTAATCAAACCGCTGAAAATAAAACCTTCCTCTCAGGAACTTCAGACAAAAGAAATGAAAACAACCAGGCTGGCTGGAAAATAAAAGGCAGCAGTGCTGAAAGGGGGACAAAAGGAAACCAGACAATAGGGTGTTGGACAAAAGCAATAAAGCCAAAGGGAGTGTGACAGGCGCACAATGCAGGCCTGTGGGCTTCTGATCCCAGCCGGCTCCGCGCCACCTCGTCCCACACCCTGGCGGCCGGGCCACCGGGTGGCAGGGTGGCCTCCTCCCTCCGGACTTGGGTCCTCAGGGCTTTTCTCCTTCACTCAGCCTTCAGGGCCTTCCAGCTCCTACCTCCAAGCCTTCCTTCCCATGGCAGCCCTGAGACCCCAGCAGCAGCCGCATTACAGCGGCAGCGGGGAGTGTGGTGAGACGCGGGCACAAAGGATCAGGCCTCCGTGGCTGGGGCTGGGGCGGCTCCATGGAGGCGGTCATCTGTCCTAATTAACCCTAGGCCCACGGTGCAGCACCACAGCCACCACAGAGCCACTGGCCACACGTGGCCACCTGGTTGTTGGCCGTCCCAGCAGAAATGGGCTGTGAGTGTAAAATCCACCCCCTGGGTGTGAAAGGTGTAGGAAGAACGCAGTGCAGAACTGCTCGCTGATGAGCACACACTGACTGCACGTAGAAATGCCATTCTGGGGAGCAGGTCAGGTACATCACTGGGGTGCTTTTTCAACTGTTTCTTAATACGCTTTTTTAAGTTTTTGTTTGTTTGTTTTTTGTTTGTTTGTTTTTTTGCCATAGTGGCTTCTCACTTTGCAGAGAGAGAAGGTGAGAAGCCACCCCCCCCAGGAAGGATGACCACTCCACAGTCTCTTCTCCAGTCTCGGGATTTTGGACAACACGCACACACACCTGGTGTGATTTTCAAGCTGCCAGGTCTGGGACTGAAGCCACGGAGTTGGCCATACGGGACCCACGGGCTTAACCAGCACGCCACTTGCTGGCCCCTTTTTCCACTTTCTAATGTTTTAACTGACACGTGGCTCCCGTGATGTTTCTGCTGCATGACTTGCATTCGGACACCTTTACCACTGACACTTAACCCTGGCAGTACCTCAGGCCAGGCGATGGGGATTCCCTGTACAATGGGGAGCTTGCCTCCTGGGACTCCCAGGGGCTCAGGCTAGGCCTCCAGCTCAGCTTTTGGTAACAGAGAAAACGACTCCTAGAGACCAGCCAAGTTGGCTAGGAAGAGTCAATCTGTTCACCAAGGCTTGTCACCCAAGAGATGAGCCTGCAGCCCAGGACCCTCCTCCTCACAGGCAACCAACTCCATGGCTGGGCTGGGCCCTGGCCCTTAGTTGGTCTCCTCTGGGCTGTTGGAGAAGCCACAGTCCAGACTAGATGGGCATCTCCCAGGGAGCACCCCCCTAAGTCTCGCCGCCGTTAGGGGAAAGGGTCCTTGGGCACCTCCCTTACCTCCCTCTCCCGGTCCCGGTCCCGGTCCCAGAGCCCAGACCTGCTAGAGACGTGCAGCTCCTGGCCTGCCCTGTCCCCACCTGCCATGGCCCACAAGAGTCTCATGAAGGGCTTCAGTGCCAGGCTAATCCTAACCAGCCTAGAGAGCAAAGCCAGGAGCCAAAGTCGTCTGTGACAAGCTAAGACGGGCAGAAAGGGGGACCAAAGTAGAAGAAGAGCCAACAGGAGTCCCTGCTGCCTGCAGCCAAGCATCCCTGCACAGGTCGCTTCCTCTGCAGGCTCGTCTGTAAACCACAGGAACTGGGAGGTCGGCAACGGGACGGAGTTTGGCTTTCGGGTCACGTCTATCCCAGGATGCTCTAAAAGTGAAGGGGAAAGCCTCGGGTCTGAAGACCTAGACACTTGAATCCCAACTCTGATTGTTAATGTTGTTACACTTGATCAAGTAATTTAAACCGAGTTTCAGTTTCTTCCTCAGTAAATGGGAATAAGAAAATCCAACAGGGGGCCAGCCTATGTGGCACGGTGGTCAAGGCAGCTGAATCCCACATGGCTGACTGCAGAGTTCCAGCCCCAGACCCGGCAGCTTAAGAAACACACGGGGGGAGGGGAAGGACTAGCGGTTAGTGTAACAAAACTGTGTCGCTGGACTCCCATGTAGTCGACCACGGTTCGAGTACTGGACCCAGTGGCTTAAACTCATGCCGGGCGCGTGTGCGTGCGTGCCCAAGATCCTGAGAGCAGAAAGGAGGAGAAGAGATTACAGCGTGGCCATCCCTCCTGGGGGGTGATTTCTCGCTTTCTGTTTCTCTGTCTCTCTCTTTCTGGTGAGCACACGCACCCTATAGCAAAAATCTCTCCAAAGAAAAAAAGAAAAGAAAAAAAAAGAAACTCACCAGGCACGGTGTCTGTGTGTGTAACCAAAATCCTGAAAGGGGAATGGAGAAGGGATTGTGGCACCAAGAGGAAGAGGGGCAAGCCCTCTATTAACGACCCGATCAAATGTGCCTGTTTTACATTCTCACGGCAAATTGAACTTGGCCTTCGCAGTATTAATTCTCGCCACAGTTGGTAATGCTACCTTTTCTTCTTTAATGTATTCCCAACTCACCCTGTAGCCCGAGCATTCACCCACCCCACCCAGAGCGC